CACATATATGTCACATATATCTTTATATACAAGGTGTTACAAAAATCATCTATCAGACATAAAAAATAAAAGATGAGAGATATAATAGAAGTAAATAGAGAAAATAAAGAAAAAACTAACATATATAAGATAAAGAATGAAAGAATAAGAAGAAGAAGAAGGAGTCGTCGGAGCATGGAAAGTGAATTTCTGAGATGGGGCATAAATTGATATGCATCCAGCATTCGACATGTCGGTCGGATAAAAGAGGGAGCGCCGAGAGAGAGACAATGCCCGTCGCCCACGAAACCCCTCAAGCATCCGGTGCGTTTTCAAGGAAGCTTTCGGTACGCCGTGACACATATCAATTGATTTTCACGATCGCTGGCCCCGCGTCCTGTCGTCTGCCCTCCCTCCCTCCTCCTCCATCACCAACACCTCCTCCACCTCCTACCTCCTCCTCCTCCTCTTCTTTCATCCTTCAATATATCCGATAGGACACCACGAGTCTCAATAATGTTCATTTCTTTTCACGTGAGTGAGAACAACTTTGGTTGATCGTAACCGAACGAACGTACGAATAAAAAAAATTCAGTAGGGATGAAAAAAAAAGGGTCCGCTCTGATCATTGTGATTTCTACGAATCCGAACAACGATTTCTCCCCGTTCGCGTGATTTGCTTAATAATAATTTTTGTGTTCTTGTTTGGTTTTTAGTATCAGTCTTGAATTTTGCACATTTGTTTTCTTTTTTTTTTTGTCGTCATTAATACGCGTGATTTTTTCGAAAAGAAAGATTGAAATAAAAACGGGGGGTGTAATCGTTCATTCTCACTCTCATGAATTCTATTCCAATTTTGTGATCTCACACACGCCTCGTCGTTTTTTTGTTTTGATTATACTAATTTATTTTCGCAAAGTGGATAGATGAAAAGTAAAGAAATTTATGAATGGTAAAGATACATTGTCGATCACGTTTTCTTTAATTTTATTATAAATAAAATATAAAACGTAAGTACTCTTAAAAAAAATTAGGGAGAGAAACACACAGATATACATCTTCCTTAATTTTATTCCAATTTTATTTCATACATGCCACATCTAGAATATTTGAATCTATTAAATCTTAATAAATATTATTTCATCGCATTCTAATTTTTCTTACATTACTCTCGCGACGATTTGATTTATTCGTAGAAATGAAAAAGAAAGAAAGAAAAAAAAAGAAAGAAAGACAAAGATAGAATGAAACAATTTACTTCCTGGAATTCTATTCCAACGTTCTCCTCATCAAATTACGAAATTCCCTACCTACTTTCGCAAATAATGAGGGAAAAAAAAAGCAAGGCAAACGAAAAAATCCGCTTGATAAATAATAGTGTGTGTGTGTGTGTGTGTGTGTGTGTGTCGTCGTACAAATCGAAAGAAGAAAAAGATTTGCGCGTGCCAAAGAAATGCCAGAACGTTTAATGAATCGTTATAGACGGACGACTTCACTTCATCCATCGATTACTTTAACGGGTGACTTACAAAGTAAAGAACGGTGGTGATGGTGGTCATGGTGGTGGTGGTGGTTGTGGTGGCGCCGTACGATCGTTTTGCTAAATCCTCTTCAATCGATCCGAGAGCTAGACGACGAAGAAGACGACGACAATAAAATGTGTCTTCAATAAATTCCAAACACTCGAGTGTTAGTTTAAATCCTCTCGTCGTCTCCCTTGGAAAACTTCGACTTTGTTTTACGACTAGCAACACAACACAACAACACCCACGCCTCCCTCGTCTCTATGCGTGTGCACGCACCTTTTGCTCGCGTATACACACACACGCACACATAAATACGTGTTTTATGTATATATAAATGTCTGCTTACGTACGCGTGAAATAAATATACCGGGTGAAGCTTTTAAGACGAGTCGTCACCTGAATAAATAACTCGATTGCTTTTATTGATGAAAGAAATTCATTTGTCCAACAGAAATAATCTTCTTTTATTATATAAATAAACGTAAAATAGAGAATCTAATAGATATATTAAAACACGTATATTTAAACTACCCTATATAATTTCTTTACTGTTTTCTTTTAATTTAAAAAAAAAAAATAGAAACATATTACAATAAAATACATGAAATTATTTCGATGAAGTAATCAAATCAATTTCCAATTACTTGTGGTGAGAAGTGTTTCTTCGAAATACTTCACCAGGTATATACGTTTATTTAGATTAAAAAAAGAAATATATAAACACGTGTGTGTTGCACATAAGTGTACGTACAAATATATATATATATATACAAATATATAAATATAGAAAGATCTTTTATATATATTGGAGTCAGAGTTCTACACGAAGAGCACGCGCTGCGTTCAATGTAAAGCGTTAAAGCGGTACGTGATCGAATTGGACAAACGACCGGACACTAGCCAGTCCGAGCCACCATTTCGCACTCGCCGACCGAATATCAACGAGAGAGATCGTTAGAAACGTTTTAGAATTAAGCTTTGCCTATTCACAAAGAAGAACCGAACGAACGCCTACTCGGGGATAGGTATCCGGCATTGCGGTGATATCGAGTCAATGCGAATCCAAACGAACGATGAGACCGTACAGTTCCCTCTTAAAACGTTTTATTACTCTTTCTTTCTTTATTTATTTTTTTTATTTTCTTTCTCTTTCTATCTTATGCTTTCTTACATTTCCGACAACGTCATGCTCGCAACAACGCGTCTGCTGGTTAAACCGTCTATCCTTTATTTCTTTCATTTATCTCTCTCTCTCTCTCTCTCTCTCTTTCTTTCTCCTGTTTGATCTACGTTTGAAGTGAAGTCCTTTGTAACAGCGCCCAAGTCATACTTGACTTCAACTCGATCCTATATTACTTTCTACTCGCTCGAGCGATCTTTAAATATAACAAAGTCCAGGTAACCAAAGCGTTTATTCGAAAATATTATATATTGTTTCTTTGGTAAGAAGAAGAAAACGAAGAAATAGAAATAGAAGAAGAAGAAGAAGAATAAGAGAAGAATGGCCACGTTGAATCGAGACACCCAGTGTACTAGCGCGTCTCGAAACGACTACAGCGTGTTCATTGTTATTAGTGACGGTTGCGAGTCGTGTCGAGTGTCACGAATAAGTTCTACCCCGGAGCCTTTTACCTCGTTGACTCTTGACACCTTGAGAAACTTCCATTCATCTTAAACCCTTCATTTCCCTTTAAGAACGCTCAAAAGTCATTCTTTGGCCTCGATACTGTATCCTACGATCAACGGAATACTTAACTTTCGTGTGAGAAGAAAATCAAGTAGTAAGTATTTCTTACAAAATAAATATGTAAGTGTAAATATCAACAGAAATTTTTTTCTATTTATTTCATTCGATATTAAACAAAGATCATTTGGAATAATTCTTAATCTTTCGTTGGTAGAAAATCAAGTGATTTGTGTTATACAACTAAAATAATAGAAATTATAGATGTATAAATATAATGGTCGTATTTATTTTTCAAGTAATTCATTATATTTCATAAGTAACATTTTATATTGTAATATTAAAATTATCTAAATTTGTCTGATGATTGGTTATATTAAATTAATTTCAATTATTTTCTTATATATAGAATAGAATCATCTATGCAAAATATTGTTTACGTATAAATAATTTATAGAAACTAAAATATATAACATTTATTTGTCTTGTATAACATATTTTAATAATAACTATAATTACATTTAGAATAATTTAATGTAAAATAAATATAAATTAAAATAATTGTCGATAATTTTAATATTACATTCTATTAATTAAGTAATCCTGAATTTAATCGATAATGTTAAAACATCTAGGGATACAATAATGTAATTATTTGATATATTATAACTTTTCGATTGAATATATAGTTCAAGGAAACACTCCAACTAATTGTAAGTTTTTTCCAATTTACAATGCACGAACGATCGTAAAACGTGTTCGAGATCCATTTAAACTGACAATTACGATCAACCTTGATCTTTGAAATGTCAAATCCGAGTTGAGAGTAGTATCGTGGACAGAGGCAAATTAAGTGAGCTTACATCTCTCTCTCTCTCTCTCTCTCTCTCTTTCTCATTCTCTTTTTCTCCCTTCAAGTCGTTCATATCTCGCGGAATTAGATTACGTATCTCTCTCGCCGTCCCCGTGATTTATTTATCGGGCTGGGTTGCCGCCTGAAGGCACTTGCTGTGTTTCAACACCTTTTGACGAGCGTATTTACGATTATGAGAATTACACAAGGCAATTAGTGCCAGCTTGGCAGTATAAATACGGATAATTATGCATATTCACCTGTTTCTTCGTTATATACCATATATATATTTATAAATATATACATATATATATATATATTAATACGTATACGTGCGAGTACTTTGAAAATGAACAAATTACGCATCCTAATAGACAATGAAAAGCAAAAAAGAAAAGAAAATTAACGAAAGAAAAATAAGAAATGTTTTCATTCGTAACGAGAAAATCTAACGTAAGATCAAAATATCAAGAATACACGTTCTCGTAAACCACGAGTTCGTCATGGGGGTGTCGTTTGATCTTCCGTATGGAACACAGTAACGATTAACTTTCTCATTTTATAGATATAAAATAAACTTACTTACGCGTTACTTTCGAACGAGAGCGAAACGAATTACTAAATGCTCAGTAAATTTGTCCATTTGTTTCTGGAAAATGTTACTTCCCAAGATAGATATTATTATATTTCCCATAACACGAAATTAGATATAATATAGTAAAGAAAAAAAACAAAAAATCATTTTAGAAGAATCTATACAACTAGACGAATGCTATCAACTAACAGAAAACATGAACACAGAATAAAAAATAAAACATAATAAGATAACTTAGAGAACAATGTTGCTCCTGCAACGAGAATCGTTCCTTCGTGTTTTCTATCTCTTTCTCTTTCTCTTTCTCTTTCTCTTTCAGTTACTTGAAAGCTACTTTGAGTTATTTCGTTCTCTCTTTCTCGCTAGAAGCGAGATCGTGAGAAGTACTCCAGATCGGGCCTGGCAGAATCCAACAAAACAAGCAGGTACATATCGCGAAGGCTGTTACACTGAAGAGATCGCTAACAAAGTGAGGATCAAATAATAACACGTTTGGATTCGCGCGCGGCTCCAAGAAGATAGATGGCGCCCGACGAGTGAGCGAATAATTTGATAATGGCGACTGCTTCGCGTTGAAACGGTGTCTACGAGTTTTGTCTTATCCTTATTCTTTTTAATCTATTTCTTTTTTATTTTCTTTTTTTTTTTTCTCTTTGCTTTTTCTTCTTCTTATTATTATTATTTTGCGTGCGTTTTTTTTTCACATTAATATTTTTAAATTAAATTTTATAATGCAGTTTCAATAGTAAAGTTTCAA